CCCATCTGCGTCGGCTGTGTGTTTTTCGCTCTTTTGCGTCCTCGCCCCTCTCTCATTCAACAGCCTAGCCAGCCGGGGCTAGGATATCACTTGCGGCTTTGCTTCGAAGCTCAACCCCCCCCCCCCCCCCGGGGGGCCCCCGCTTCTCTGTCCGCAACCCTGGAAACGCGCGCAACAAACACACACACATACTCGCACCCGCGGCACTCACCCCTCGGTGGCGATGATCTTGCGGAAGCAGTCGACCATGCCATTGTAGCGATCTGCGCCGACGGCGGCAGACGTCTGCAGCTGCATGCGCGTCTTGACTACATCTGTGTGTTGCATGGGGCCGGAGTGTGAGGCAGCGCCCGCAGAGAGAGAGAGAGAGAGAGAGAGAGAGAGAGGGAGGGCAACAACGCACCGAGAGGATAGAGACACAGCAGCTCCGTCACGCCGGCAATGGCACCGGCGGTGAACTGTGCGTAGAAGGGCAGCGCTGCGAGGAGAGGACGCACAGCGCATCAGCTTTTCCTTCTCTCTCTCTCATCGCGCGCGCCGAGCAGCGCAAGGCCTGGCAAGAAAAGGGAGAAAGGCAAGGCAGGGGAGGAGCACGCACGCTTCAGGGGAGTGGTGCGCTCGGCCATGATGCGAGGGTGTGGGTGAGGTGGGTGGTGGATGTGGGGAAGAAGCAGAAGCAGAGCAAGCTAGCGCCGCCGCCCGCGGCGCTGGATTCGGTGGAGAGATGGCCGATTGCGCGCGCCGGCATGGCGCGGCGGGCGTTTGTGCCTTTCGGCCTTCTCGGACCCGGACCCGCAGCACAACGCACGGCGAACCTTGAAGCCTTGTCTCCGCACGGCTCCGAACGCTGAGGCGAGCCGCCCACTGGCTGCTGTTCTCGTGCGCTCATGCCTCTCTCTGCTCCCGGTCTGCTGCACCTGGGCCCGCCGCCGCGTGTCTATCGCCTTGCGCTGCGCTGCGCCTGGCCCGAAGATCCGATGCCTCGCCCGGCCTCGGAGTGCAGGCGCTCGTTGCGTTCCCACGCGCATGTCTCCCGTGCGGGAGAGAGGCAATCTCGCCTCGAGATTGCGAGGGCTCGCCTCTCCGCCTCCTCGCCTCCACGCTTGCCTCGTCTCCACATCCACCCACCTCACCTCTCAGGCGCCATGTCCAAGCGTCCTGCTTCTCCCGCCGCTTCCTCCTCCAGCTCCTCCTCGGGCGACTCCGAGCCGAGCTTCATCAATGTCGACTTCCTCTTCTCTTCTCCCTCCGCGCTCGACTACCACGCCCTCAAGCGCCTCACCCAGCAGCTCTTCTACACGCACGCCGCGCACCTCGATCTCGGCGCCATTGCGCAGGAGACGATTGACGCGGCAGGCAAGTGGGGCAGCGTGGTCAAGGTGGATCAACAGAGCGAAGAAGGAGGCGAGGAGGAGGATCCGTATGCGTTTGTAGGCGCGTTTGACTTGGCAGTGAGTTTGGCGCCGGCTGGAAGGCAAGGGCAACGAGCGAGGGCAACAAAGGGTAGAGAGCGAGAGAAGGAGCGATACCACACCGGCCAAAGAGCGACGAGGCGAAAACCAAAAGCTTGAGCGCGCATGTAGACATGTGGCCAAAGGCGTGGCCTAGGCAATTGCAGGGGGGGAGGGGGGGGGGGACAGAGGCGACCTGCCCATATGGGGGAGAGAGAGAGAGAGAGAGAGAGTAGTTCATAGGCGGGCACGCAAAGCACGCAGAAAGGGGGCCAGAGAGGAAGCTGTGTGTGTTGCACAAGCCCTTTGTTTGCACCCATCCCGCTCGGCTCTCTCTTCTCCGTGAGCAAAGAGGGACGTTCTGGCGTTGGGGCGGGGCAAGAGCGTTACTTTGTGCTCGGCCGTTTGCAGTTTTGCCCTCCCCCCCCGGGCCAGCGCGGGGTTGCAAAGAGTGGAGGGGGGGCAGAAAGCGAAGGGGAGTATTCGGAATTTCTCTTGTCCGTACTTGCGTTTTGTTTCCGCACTCTCTCTCCTCCTTTCTTGTTCCCTCCTCTCTCTCTCCCTCTCTCGCCCTTTTCCTCTCTCCCTCTCTCGCCCTTTTCCTCTCTCCCGCGCGCGTGAAAGTCGCAAATCTGACCACCAATCCCACCTTTTGCCCTAGGCCTCGACGGCGGCCTCTCAATCTCTGCGCGCCTACTTTCTCGCGCGCAGCGCCTCTTGCGCTTCCATCTCCTCGCTTCTCGCCTCTTCCTCCGCCGACGCCGCCAACGCCGCCGCCTCGCCGTCGACGCTCCTGGTGCTGCACGAACGCATGGTCAATCTGCCGCCTGCCATTGCGCTGCCTCTGTACCGCATGTTATTCGACGAGATTGCTGCGAGTCCTGTACGTTTGCTGCCCTCTCTCTCTCTCTTTCTCTCTCCCACAAACGCCGCGTGTCCGATGCTGATGCCCGAGGCGGTGTAGACTCAGCCCGACAACCTCCTCTTCTTCTCGCGCATCTTCAACGCCGATGCCTTTTCCGACGACGAGATGTCCGACGCCGAGGGCGGCGATGCGGAGGACAAGCCTCGGGGAATGAAGGGCGCCGCCAAGAAGCGACGCAAGGCGGCTGCGTCGCTTAAGACGGCAAAGACGGCGCCGCCGCCAAAAGCGAGGCTGGCAGAGGGAGAGTATGGCCTCTTCCATCCGGAGGACGCCGTATTTGCTCAAGTGTGTTTGCCTTTTCACTCCTTTCCCCCCCTACCTCTACGCGCCCGCCAGCTGACCTTGCTCTGCCCCCCCGCCCCCCCCAGTTTGCGTCGCACACACACACCTTTCGCTTTCCGCCGCCTCCGGACGCAGCCGAGGCGTTTGAGGCGCCCCTGTTTGGGCGCCTCGTCGTGGTGCCGTGGAGGCAGGCGGGGGAGATGCTGCAGCGTCTCGAGGCGCTGCTGGCGCAGGGCGGCGCTGCGTGAATGGGCGGGCGGGCCTGCCCCCGTGAAAAAAAAACGAGGCCAAGCATGGCCAAGGGCGAGGTAAGGGAAGAATGGGATCGATTTGGCGACCAATGCTGCCTTATGCTGCCTTGAGCTCGATTGAGACATGATTGTTGCCCAACGTTGGAGAGAGAAGCAGAGCAACGCAAGGCGCGAGGCAGGGCGAGGGAGAGAGAGGAGCAGCAAGGGACGCGGGCGCCATGCTGACGGCTGACGTAAGCACGCCCCCCCGCGGCGCGCGCGCCCGTGCGTCTCAGGCGCTCGCCTTGGGCTCATTCAACTCGAGCGGCGGCGTGTCTCTCTCCTCCCACCATCTCTCCCTTGACACGCCATCCTCATCTGCCTCTTTTGCTTCGCTCCTGCGTCCTGCGTTCGCGCGCGGAGAACCATGGCCTCCTTGCCCATCGTCGCTGCAGCCAACGGCGCCTCCGCCGCTGCTGCTGTTGCTGCCGAAGCAGACGTCGACTCGACTTCGTCCGTCCAGCGCGTGCGCTACGCGCTGCCTCTCTCGCGCCACACTGCCTGCGCAAGCAACAGCAACAGCAGCAGCAACAGCAGCAGCAACAGCAGCAGCAACAGCAGCAGCAACACCTGCACTTCCTCACTGCACACCATCCCATCTCCCGCAGGAACTCTCGCTCCTCTTCTCGCCCCCTTACTCCGCGCCTCGCACTTCGCCGCCGCGCATCCCGCCGCGCTCGCCGCTCTCGGGCGCGCCGTGCAGGCGTTCGTAGAGGCGCTGGCGGCGCACGCGGCACAGCAGGCGCGCAGTGGCAGGCGAGTGCAGGCGCATGATGTGCTTGCCTCGCTCGAGGCGCTGGGGCCTCAATACTCGGCCGCGCACCTCAGAGGCACGCTGAGGCGCGCAAAGACGCGGCAAAGGCAGCAGCAGCAGCAGCACGACGACGACGACGCCAACGCGAAAGGCGCATCCAGCGAGGCAACAGCGACGGCGACGGCGGCCGAGGCGGCGATCAAGCTGCCAGAATGGGCAGAGCCAGATGCGTCTTTCCTGGCGCTTGCGCAGCAGCAAGAGGAGGAACCCCGAGAGCGAGAGTCGGCCGCAGCACGAGGCGAGGCGGCGCCCGTGGCGCAGGCCCGCAGCAGCAGCAGCAGCACCAGCAGCAGCACCAGCAGCGGCAGCGGCATCGACGCGCACGCCGAGATTCCGAAGCATCTGCCGCCTTGGCCTGCGCCACATACGTGGCGCGAGACTCCTGTGAGTGTTGTGTGTGTGTGTGTGTGTGTGTGTGTGTCTGTGTGTGTGTGTGTGTGACGGGAAGTGACGCGCCCATTTCTCTATGCATGTTTGTCCCTGCCTCTTTGCCCCCCTGGCGCCCCCATCGCAAACCATGGCTGATAGGCTGACCTTTTGTCCCTTTGTGCTCCCCGCGCGTGGCCAGGCATTTCCACAAGCTCCCTCCACCTCGCTCGGGCCTCTGGCACTCGTCGAGCTCAAACTGGCCTCCTCGAGGCTCGTACAAGCGGCACTGGCACGACTCATCCAGCAAACAGACGCCGCCGCCGCCGCCGCCGCCGCCGCCGCCGGTAGCGCTGGTGCTTCTGCTTCTGCTGCTGCTGCTGCTGCTTCTTCATCGGCAGCAGAAGCTGCGCCGCCCAGCCACAGCAACGCTGCAGGCGCCGCGACGTTGCCGACGCCGGCTGGGCAAGCTTCCTCGCCGCCGCCTGCTACGACGGCGAGGACACGCTCCCTGTCCGGCATCGCCGCCGCCGCCGCTGCCGTCGTCTCTCCCCCACTTTCTGCGACTTTGCCCTCCTCCTCCTCCTCCGCCATAGAGGGCGCCGCATCTTCGGGCGCCGGGAGCACGCCCAGCGGCGAGCAGCCTCGCAAGCGCACCAAGCTGGCGCTGCGTCTGCGGACGGGAGGAGGAGGAGGAGGAGGAGGAGGAGGAGGAGGAGGCAGTGCTTCCCTCGCCAGCGCCACCGGCATTCCCTCTACGCCAGGCGGCAGCGGCAGCGGCACTTCTATGGCTCCGCCCCTCGCCACGCCTGGCCTTTACAGCGCCATGCCAGCGAGTGCCGTGCCTTTGACGTCCGCTTGCATGGCCTCTCCCATGCCTCCTCCGTCTCTCTCCTCCACTCGTCGGCGTTCCTCCTCCATTCTTCCCTCTCTCGCCGCCGCCTCGTCGTCGTCGTCGGCGCCTCAGACGCCTCGCGCCTTTGTCGTCGGCAGCAACACGAGCTACTTTCCGCCTCCTTCCTCGGCACTCCTCGCCGGCGACGCAGCATCAGGCGTAGGCCATGCAACAGAGGCAGGCACGCCCGCGGCGATGGCTTCTTCGCCATTTGCCTATCCGCCCACGCCGATGGATCTCTATGCGCATCGGCCATCCATCTCCACTGCCATGGGCGCAGCAGGCGCAACGGCGCAGGAAGCACTGCCAAAGCCCGTCAACTATCGTGCGCAGGCGGGCGCAAAGAGGTTGTGGGGCGTGTGAGGCTGGTCCACGCGGCGGGCTGTGTGTGGAGGCGAGAGAGAGAGAGAGAGAAAAGGGCGCGCCGGGTAGGGATGAGGGAAGCCCGCGGGGGGAAGGCGAGAGAAACGCAAGAGAAATATACCAGCGGACCGCATCGCCTGCAATGCCCCGTGATGCGCTTGCGCTGAGCTGTCTTACTGGCTGGAGATGAGCGGAGTCAGAACACAGACATGGACGCCCCTCTGGGCACGCTGGCACGCGTTTCAATGACAAGATGGCGCCGCTGATGAGCCCACGCTATCTCAGACGCTGTGGTCGGACGCAAAGGGGGGTATATTTGAGGTGTGACAGGAAGGGCCGAGAGGGGGAGAAGACTCGGGGGCGCTAGAGCGGCCTGCCGGCAGCCGGGGGAGCCGAGACGTGAATGTCCGGAATGTCCACTGCCTTCTCCCACGTCTCTCTGCGCGCCGGCGCAGCCGCTCTGCGCTGGTAGAGGCCGTCTCGCGCCACTGCTGCGCGGCCCGAGGAGGCCGTCGCCTCGTCTGCGTCATCTGCGCCGTCGTCCACGCGATGCTCCTCGCCACTGCTTCTCGCACTGCTGCCAAACGCCTGCATGTGGCCGGCGGCGGCGGCGGCGTCCAGCTTCGGACTGGAGCGAGCCGCGATGGCCGAGGCTTGCTGGGCACGAAAGAGCGACGACGTCAACGTGGCGGCGCGGCGATGGGCGTGCCTCTTGCTCTTGCTCGTCGTGCGCGAGCAAGCCGAGGCAGCAGCAGACGCATCTTCGGCGTCGGCGGCGAGCAAGAGTGGGCGCACGACGGCACACCAATTGCCGGCCCACGTGGCCGTGCGGCTCTCCTCGCGCGGCGACGGCGACGAAGAGGGCGGCGCGGAGGAGGCGGCCAAAGAGCCGAGCACGGGACTGGCGAGCAGCGTCGTGCCTGCGGCAGTGGCAAGCAGAGGCGAGCAAGGCGGAGAGGCCGAGATTGTCCTTCTCATCGTCATGCTGCTCGTGGGAGTGGGCGAGCTCGGCGTCGTTGGCAGTGCGTCAAACGGGCTGGGCAGTTGTGCCACCTGCTCGGCCAGCCAGTTGGCATGCGGATGCAGCGCCAGGACACTCTCGAGTTGCCGAGCCAGCTCCTCGGCGTCGCGAAAGACAAGGCCGTTGCGCTCGTGCTGGATCAGCTCGTCGAGACAGGCGAAGTGGAGCGCACAGACAGGTAGCGCACAGCCGAGCATGTCGACGACCTTCATGGGCAGGTCCAGGCCGGAGGAGGAAGTGTGCAGAGAAATGCCGACGTCTGCCGAGCCTGGAGAGAGTGGCAGAGCGCGGGAATTTGAGCCCGTCGTGTGCAGCGTACTAGAGACGAAAGAGCGCTACTCACCGAGCAGCACGGGGTACTCCTCCATCTCCAGCCACGCCGTCCGAATCCGAACATACTCCCACTTCTCCTCCCGTTCCAGCAGCGCAATCTCTCTCTCGTACTGCGCGCGCAGCTCGCCTTTGCCCGTGACGACGAGGAGCATCTTCGGCAGTCTTGCCGCCGGCTCGTTGGGCAGCAGAGGCATGCCTCCGCCAGAGAGATCTGCACTTGCTCTGCGACTGCGGTCGCGCGTGGACTCAATGTTGGAGTTGCCCGAGACGAGACTTGTGTCGAGTTCAAGCGAGGAGCTGCGACTCGTGCTGCGTCTTCGAGTGGCGATGCCTCCGCCGTGCCACTCTGGCTCCTCAAGGGTAGGCGAACTATGTCCCTTGCTGCGCGCATGCGGTGCACGTGCGGGTTCTGCGAGCGTAGGTGAGGCATGGCGACTGCTTGCGCGTGCTCGCTCGGCTTGTTGTGCCGCCAGCTCGCGAGCTCGGCGTTCGTACAGCGAAGCGGCACGCAGAAGGAGCGAAAAGTCCTCGTCGGCCGTCCACGAGGTGGAGCTGACGACGAGTGCGGGGCGATCTTGGCGCAGCTCAGCTTCTTGCATGTCGCCCTCGCCGCCGCTGCTGCGCGTCACAGTAGTAAAGGGCGACGAGTGCTGCGCTTCAAAGCTCGGCCAAAAGCCGTCACAACCCGGCGATATCCTCGGAGCCAGGCGCGTCCAGAGCGCATGCGTCTCTTCGACGTTGCTTCTTCGAAAGTGCTGCGGCGGTCGATCATGCAGCACCACTTTTCTGCCCTTGAGACCCCACGCCTCATCCAGATGCTGCATCATTGCTCGTGTGACGAAAAGATGAGCATATGCCGAGCGCCCTGTCCATCGTTCCAGCAGACGAGCGAGCGAGACCAGAGGCGAGGAAGCGCCCATGCGCAATGCGAGAATCGTATAGCCGAGATTGTGCCAGTCGATGATGACGCGGGAGCCGAGAAGCAAAGAGGCGAGACGGACGATGAAGAGCGTCGGCAACGCCGGCGGAGTCTGCAGTCGTTGTTGTGGACTCATCAGCACGCTGCTCGTCCCTCTCGCTGGCGTCTCGGCTGCCGCTCTTTTGGGCACTCACCTGCACCAAGATGACCTCTGGCGGCGGCTCAATCCGCGCCGTAATCTCCCAGAAGAGCACGGCAGACTGCCACAGCACCTTGAAGGGCGCCACCAAGAGAAATGCGACGCGAGGCAGGCGAGAAATGAACGCAGGCGGCGCGGAGAGATAGTGCGGCTTGATGGAGGAGCGATGCAGAGACGAGGGAAGGGCAGTGCCTGCGCGGAGAAGAGCAGACGTCAGTTGAGAACACGACGAGGAAAGAAAACGCAAGAATGGAGCGGCGGGGTATGGCGGGGAGGCGTTCAGAGGCAAGTCGAAGCGCAACCCGATGCTCTGCTGGCCTGGCGTCGCAGCTCTTGTGCGCAGTGCGAGACAACGCCGCGCTGGCGCCCTAGCAGCTTCAAGCGCAGCGGCAGAGGCAAGCAGTCCCATGAATCTTCGCCAAGCAGCGCGAACATAAGGCAGACGCGTGCCGAGAGAGAGAGAGAGAGCTTCAAGGCCAGCCAAGAGCAACGCCGCGTGCCCAGAGATGCCTCGTGTGCAAGGGGTGAGAGACATGAAGCATGCAGCAGGCCTCGCACGTGCGAGCTACCTTGGCTCTTGCACCAGCACGCCAAGCTTTGCCTCGGCACCACCAGTGTCGGCGCTTCGTCTGTACAGCAGAACACTCACCGCCATATCCCACCAGCGCCACCTTCCAGCCCTCGTGCGCCAGGCTTTGCACATGATAGCACATCCGCGGACTGCGTGCCACATCGCCCAGCACCACGACGGCTGCGCTGCGCCCGAGCGAGGCGCGCGACGTGGTGCGCGGCGCGCGATGAGTGGTGATGTAGAGCAGCAGCGAGAGAAAGGCGAGCGAGGGCAGCAGCAGGGCGATGAGTGCGAGGAGTGCGAGGAGCATCGTGCAGAGAGGCGTGGATTAGAGAGGCATAAAGGTCGATGTGCTGTGCATGAGGAGGAGCGGTGCCTGAGAGAGCGAGGGAGAGCCTAGGAAGCGAGAGAAGAGGGGCGTGCGAGATGATGGCGAGGAAGCAGGAGCGCAACAAGAGAAGCGTGAAGCGCGTCTCGCGGTCCGAGCGCCGCCGGGGTGTTGCTTAGTCAGCACAAGCATCGCATGCCTCCGGCTCCTTGCGACACCAAGCCAGCCAGCCCACTTCTCATCCCAATCGCACGAGCGTATCACATGTAGCAGGCTCATGATCAGCGTCTTGCATTCGAGCAGCTCGTCATGGGCGAGCGTAGCGTGTGGCGTGCAGCGTGTAGCATCTAGCGTGTGTGCCTAAAGCAGTGTCTCCCCCCCCCCCCCTCTCTGCCCTCTTCTCGTCTCGTTCCATGTGACTCTCAACCCGCACCCGCATCTACTGAACCTCCTCGTGTGCCCAGATCGCCACGCGCGGCGTTGCATCCTTCGAGCTCATCACTCCCCGGTTCATCGTCTTGCAGTTGGTGCTGTTTGCGTAGAGAAACGCGGGCGTGGTCAGTCCTCAGCCTCCACCGGCTCAGGCTGGCTGGACTCCTGAACTCACATGAACGAAGGCGTGCCCTTTTCATCCAGCGCAATCACGCCGCCTTCGCCGCCGAGCGCCTCAAACTCGGCGATCATGGCGCCCGCAGCCGTCTCGACGGACTCGCCGAGGAAGCGCGCGCGATGCGCCACCAGGGCGCCGGCCGAGACTTTGAGGAAGACGTCGCCGTCGCCAGTGCAGGAGAGGCCTACGCCGCGCCTGGCGGGCTGCGTCGACGTCGAGGAGCTGGACGCATCGACGTCGTTGGAGGAGCCGCAGAGCGAAGCAACGCGGGCCAGGAGGCTCTTGCTCTGCGTCTTGGCCGCTGCGACGTTCGAGCTGCTGGCGCGCGAGTCCGTCCACGTCTCGGCCCAGGAGCCTGCGCCCGGCGCCGCAGAGTCGCCCAGACGTCCCGGCAGCTTGTTGTTCTTGCCGCCCGTGCTCGTCGCGCATGCAATCACGCCGTACTGGTCCAGCGCCACGGCGCCCACGGTGCCCTTTGGCAGCGGTCCTTGGTTCTTCGCCGGCGAGTCCGAGTGCGTCGAGTTGGCGGAAGAGGGCAGACGAGAAGTGTAGTGCGGCGGCTGCACGCCGGCGTTGAAGGCCGGAGGTTGTCCATCGAGAGTAATGTCGAGGCCGTCGAACATCTCCGAAGGGTGCACCTCGTCGTAGTCGGGCAGTCCAAGTTCGCGACGGTGCTCACTGTGCATCCGCAAGCCGACTCGTCAGCGGCCACCTTCTTCTGCTACTACCTCGATTGCCACGTTGCGTGACGCAGAAGACTCACAGCCAGCGCTTGCGCGTGTAGAAGTACTCCTGCTCCACACACTTGCTGCCGCCCAAGCTCCACGCCAGCTTCTCATTCTCCTCGCCGATGAAGAACGTGTGGGGCGCCGCGGCGGGGTTGAGGTAGAGTGCACGTGCGGCCTGCACGGGATTCTTGGTGTGCTTGACGAGCGAGAGGGCGGCAAGGCGACGTGCGGCGGGGATGGGGGCGGGCACGGGAGTGAGGCCGTAGGAGGAGGCGGTGGAGGTGGTGCTGAGCGCATCCTTGGAGTCCGGACCGTGGAAGGCGGGAGGCGAGGAGGTCATGACTGTTTGCAGCGGCGCCGGTCAGCTGTGGAGCCCTTATCGCCGGTCTCTCTCGACGTGGGGCTGGCTGGGGGCTACGCACTGCTCGCCTCGAGCTCAATCTCGCCCGCGGTGGTGAAGACGGCGCCGGCGCCCGAGTTGAAGGAGCGGTCATTCTCGAGGCTCGACACGGCGACGGCGACGGCGTCGAGGGCGCTGCCGCCCTCGGCCAGCACGGCGTAGCCCGCCTCGAGGGCGGCGCGCAGGCCGGCGCGGTGCACGGCCTCCTCGTGCGCACCCGGCAGCGTGTCGCCGGCGCCGCCGTGCACGACGAGGGTGAAGGGTGCGCGGGAGGAGGAGGCCGAGGCAGAAGACATGGCTGGGGTGGAGGAGAGGAGTGGTGGAGCAGCGGATGGCTGCGCTGTCGAGCACCTCGGCTTATGTAGGACTCGAGAGGAGCGCCCCTGGACGGAGGAGGAGCCGCGGTGCCCGGCGCCGCGCTGCTGGACGGTTGCGGATCAACCATGCGCCGCCTGCGCCTCGCATCTCATCTGCTGCACGTTGCGGTGCGGAGAGAGAGAGAGGGGCTCGGGTACCACTCTGCAAGCTCGGGTCTGGCCGTCGATCAGCAGCGCAGCGGCCGCACGGGTCGTCTCGGAGGCGGCGCTGCGGGCGTGCGGAGATGACGAGCAGGGCAAGAGGAGGCGTCGCGCGCGGGCGTTGCAGCGCGCAGACGGAGGCGGCGCCGAGGGCGCGGCGAGCGCGGCGTGGCGCCCGCGGCTCCGTGTCCGCGCCCGCGCAGCTCTGCGAGGCGCGAAGAGGCGCCTCTGCGGCGCGGCGCTGCTCGGCCGGCGGGGGCCGACGAGGCTCGCGCGGCCGCACAGACCAGCGTCAGGCTCAGCCTCAGCCTCGCCGCTCTCGTTGCTTCTCCTCCACCTCGCCGCTCTCTTTGCTTCTCCTCCACCTCTCCGCAGCTCGGCCCAGCATGCGCATGGTGCGTCTCTTCCCTTGCCTCCTTCCTTCTCCGCTGATCCTCATCTTGCCTCCATGCCCCCAGCTCGACGAGCAGACCTCCAACGACGTCGAAGTCTCGCTGGCCGACCAGGAGCGCATCAACGCCTTTTCGCGCCTCAACTCGCGCGCCGCCGACGCCGAGGCGCGCATTGCGCAGCTGCGCGACGAGAAGGAGACGCTGGGCGACTTGGAGATGGAGCTCGAGCTCGAGGGTGAGGATGAGGTCCTGTGAGTTCTTGCTTCCTCAGGGCACGAGAGACGCCAATGCTGGCGCAGAAGAACAGGTGCAGGCGGGCGCGGCGAAAAGCAAGGCAAAGAGGCCGCGCTCGTGGCGTGCCCGGCAGCCTTGGCGCCGGCGCCCCCTCGTCTTTTCCCTTTGCATCTCGCTCATCGCCCGCTCGCTCCTCGTGCCCTCATCACAGCTACAAGATCGGCGATGCCTTTCTCAAGGTGCCCGGCGAAGAGGCGTTGCAGTTGCTGGCGCGCGACACGGAGCGCGTCGACGCGCAGCTGGCACGCCTCGAGGCGCAGAAGGAGCAGTGCGACGCAGGCATGCAGGAGCTCAAAGTGAAGCTGTATGCCAAGTTTGGCAAGGAGAACATCAGTGAGTTGTGGTGCGCAAGGAGAGTGGAGCTTGCAGGAGGGCGAGGGGGCAGGTTGGCTGACAAGCGTTTCTCTCGTGTGATAGATCTGGAGCGGTGACGCTGCTGCGGTCGTGGGGAGATAGAGGGGAGGAATGTCACTCTTTGATGCCTGCCAGACGACTTTACTCCCTCTCTCAGAAGGGGAACAGGCAGGACGTCTCGCCGCAGGATCTGTGCGAGCAGCATGCTCTGCAATTCTGCGGCCGTCTCGTCGTCTGCGCCGCAAGCGCAGAGCAAAAGCAGCTGCATGGCGTGTCCATGTTCACCACGAGCGGCAGGCACGCTGGGCACGGGCGAGCGTGCACTAGCCCTCGCTGCCTCTCTGGCGCAGTGCGGGAGCACTAGACTGGCCCTCTCGTTGAATCGCCGGAGCGCTGGAAGCGATGTGCTGCCCGCCGTCGCCTCTCTCTCTGCCGCTGCGACGCGGGCTTTGCGCCGCTTGCTTGAGCACGGCCGCCTGCGTGCGCATGCTGCTGCGCGCGAGTATGCCGAGGACAGCTTGAAGCGCCAAGCACTGCCAGTGCGTGAGGCGCGATGGGCATGTTGCAGAAGCCACCACGGCTGGGTCAGCAGCGTGCTGCGAACGAGGCGAGGCGCGGCACCGCTGGCCTGTACGTTCGCGTGGATGAGTTGCTCTGGCGGCGCAACAAGCTTATGGGTGCTCTGCCGCGACGCCGCGCGGCACGCGCGCCTCCTTGCTGCCTTGCTTCTCACCACCACCCCCATCCCTCTCGGTTCTCCACTCTTCCTGCGCCCGCTGCAGTCGCCTTGCCCCAACACACGCCTCCCTCACCTGCGCGGGCGGGCCCATCACGCTTCGTCTCCTCTCGCCGCCGCTGCGTCTGCGTGTGCAGTTGCGACGCAGCTCGCACTTGCTCTGCGCGGCCTCGGTGCCAGCAGTGCCAGGCGCCGCCTTCTGCGCCCGAGCGCCGCATCGAGCGCCTCGCTGCCTTTGGCGCCCGCATTGCGCACGCTCCTCGTGCAGCATGTCGCAGCTCCACACTGCGTCGAGCGCAGGCGAGGCAGTTGCCAGCAGCAGCAGCAGCACTTCGCGCGCCGTCATCGATCTGGGCTTGCAGCGCATCACCTCTCTCCTCGCCTTGCTCGGGCGCCCCGAACTAGGCTTTGCAGTGATCCACGTGGCGGGCACCAATGCCAAAGGCAGCACCACTGCCTATCTCGACTCGCTCCTTCGCGCCACGACGGGCACGCGCACGGGACGCTTCAACTCGCCGCATCTCGTCGAGGAGCGCGATGCATGTCGCGTCGACGGCGTGCCTGTGCGTACGGACGTGTGGGAGGAAGCGCGGCGCAAAGTGCAGGCTGCAGATGCAGAGGCAGGCCTTCAATGCACGCCCTTCGAGCTGCTCACTGCTCGAGCATTCACTGCGTTTCGCCTCATGCCGCTCGAGCAACGCCCCGAGGTGCTGCTCGTCGAAGTAGGCCTGGGCGGTCTTCTCGACGCCACAAACATCTTCGAGCCGAGACACGTGCTCGCGAGCGTCATCTGTCCGGTAGACTTCGACCATCAAGCCCTGCTGGGCGACACGCTCGCGGCCATTGCCGAGCAAAAGGCGGGCATCGTGCGGCGAGGAGGCCTCTGTGTCATTGCGGACCAACGACGAGGCGACGCAGCGACGCAGGCAGAAGTAGACTGCACGGCATTGCGAGGCATCGAGGTGGAGCGCAGCCAGGTGGGCATGGCGGCCGAGATTCACGAGGCAATTCGACGCTCGGCCGTCGCTGCAACTGCGAGGCTGTGCAAGGCGTACGTGCCCTGGCAAGTCCTCGACGAAGCACCTCTTGCTTCCTCGAGCGCCTCGACGCCCTGGTCTACGTCGGTGCAAGTCAACGTGCGACACACCCCTCTTCTCTATCCCTCCTCGTCCACCTCTCCTTCCTTCGCGGGCACGTACGCCGCCCGCGCAGGCGATGGCCTAGTTTCCGGTCCGCTGCTCGTGCTTCCGCGTACGAGAGCAGCGCTCAGTGGCGCCCTCACGGCACTCCAAACCCTCTGGGCCATCGCGCGAGACGAAACGCCGGGAGGCCTGGGACAAGACGGAAGCGATGAGCATGAGGAGCTGAGACTGAGGATTGCCTGGGCACTGCGCGATGATCGAGATGCAACTCTGGCGATTGCACATGCAGTGGCGAGCACGACGTGGGAAGGACGCGCGGCTTGGCTCGACGTGCCTCTGCCTGCGCCGGCGTCGCAGTCGTCGTCGTCGTCGTCGTCGACGACACCTCAAGCTGCGCAAGCAAGGCAAGTCGAAGATGAGGAGATGCGGCCAGCCGACAGCGACACCGCCGCAACGCTCGCCTCTGCGAGTGAGCAAGCGCAAGCGCCGCCGCAGTGCCTGCACCTCCTCACAGACGGCGCCCACAACGCCTCGGCCTGCGTCGCCCTGCAGCGCTATCTCTGCGGCTGTCTCTCCGCGCGGCTCGCCTCTGCTTGCGATGCTGGCGCCGCCGCAACATCGTCCGACACGTGCGGCGTGAGCGAGGTGACAATCACCTATCTCCTCTCCTTCTCCGCGGGCAAAGACGTCGCTGCGATGCTCTCTGCCCTCTTGGCGCCGCCCGCTTCGACCAGTCTCGAGGCGCAAATGGCGCGCACGACGCTTGCTCCGTCGCAAGCACCAGTGCGCCTCAGACGGAGAGTCGGTCTCCTCTCCTTCTCCACGCCCGTAGAAGGCATGCCCTGGGTCACTCCCCTTGCTCCTTCCACTGCTGCACACGCACTTCGACAGCTGCAGCTGGAAGCAGAGGTGGAAGTGCGCGTCTTTGAGACGCACGATGCACTCGCAGAGGCGCTCAGGTGGGCGGCGCAGCTGGGAGATGGACGTTCGATGACCGCCGCCGAGGGAGAGCGACAGGCGTCGATGTGTGTAGTGGCGGGCAGCTTGTATCTCGTAGGTGATTTGTATCGCCTGCTTGCTCGCTCGAGCGAGTAGCAAATGCATGATCTTTGCGCACTCTTCCCTTGTTTTTCCCTTCATCGGCGACCCTCCTTTTGCCCTGGGCGCTGCATTACGAGCGCCCATCCGAAGAGTGTTGACACAGCGCGAGCCGCGCCCACGCTCTATGGCACCTCTCTTCTCGCTGTTCAAGCCTCATGCCATGCACTCGCCCGCGAGAGAGCCGGGCCTCTACTTCTCGCGCCTTGCGCACGCCCCAAGCACATTGTGCCTTCTCAAGGCGCCGAAGCCTTCTCGTGAATGGGAAGCCCATCCTGATTGCTCCCCACCTCGTCGTCTCGCCCTCGCCAGCCCTCGTCTTGGGGGCCGCGCGTGCTACCGGCCCTTCTTATCTTCCCTCGCCTCGCTCCCACTGCTCGTTGTCGTCGCTGCCGCATCCTCGTCCATCTTGCCCTCGCCTGGCTCTGCTGCCTCCTTGCCCTTCTCCGTCGGTGGAGGTGGTGGCAGCTTGGCCAGTTCCTTCAAGAACCTGGCGGGCGCACTTGCAGTCAGCCTCCTGATTCCTCTGTAGCCTGCGTAACTGGCCACTCTTCCGGCCGCCCTCCTCTTCATACGCCTGATGTAGACTCACCAACCCACGCTCGCCCAAAGTGCCAGCGCAATGCCCATCAGCGCACACACATGCACATTGCCGCGCGTCAGAAGGGCGAGCGCCAACAAGACGAGCAGCAGCCCGGCGAACGAGGCATTCATGGCGCGCTGCATGGGCGCGTTGAGACCCGGCTGGAAGAGGGAGTCGAGGATCGCTGACATGGCGGGCAGCTCAGCTTGGGACAAAAGAGGAAGAGGGTGGTGGTGGTGTGGAAGGAAGGCGGACGTGCGCGGCGGCGCGGCGCGCGAAGTGGAGAAGACGCGACCTGCTCTCTCGGCCGGCAACGCTGAGCGTCGTGCTTCGCTCTACTCGCTCCCTTCCTTGCTGCTCCTCGCCAGGCAGCGCCTCTCGATGTATACGTCCGAGGCAGATCATGCGAAGTAGGCATAGTCATGGAAAGATCATCACATTGTACCCCCATCTGGCTACACGGCCCGCCCCCGACTCTGCGCCGCCCACGCTTCCCTTCTGGCGCGTCTCTGCGTCTCGCTCTCCCGTTCGGCAGCCAGACCCGCCGGCGGGGTCAGGCCGTTGCGCAGCGAGGCCTCCCGGATCAGTGGGCCCAGGCGCAGCAGAGAGTCGGACGCCCCTGTTGCTGACGCATGTGCTGGTGCGGTGGTGCGAGCAGGCTGCGCAGGCGAGGGCGCGGTGGTGGAAGAGGAGGAGGAGGAGAAAGAGGAGGGAGAGGAGGAGCTGGAGCTGGATCGAGGCTCGCGCTTGGCCTCGGCGATGGCCTGTGCGGCCTTTGCGCGGCGCTCGGCACGCAGACGCTCAAGCTCGCTCTTGATGCTGGCTTGATCACGCGGAGGCACCTGTGGGTCGCGAGCGCGGTCGCTGGTGAGCGAAAGGAAGAGGGGGGAAGGGAAAGAAGGACACGCACGTAGAGAGTGTCGGGTGAGGGCCAGAAGGAATCGCGGATCTAGGGAGAGAGAGAGAGAGAGAGGCGGGGGGCAAAGTGAGCTGGCTTACTCCAGTCTGCAAGGCCGCAGAGCAAGGAGCCCACTGCCCGGGACAGAGCGCCCCCCAAGGCGCTGCTCAAGATGTCGGGCTTGGGGGGCAAGCGGCCTCTGCAAAGGTGCCGCGCAGCAGTGCAAGTGCCGTAGCGCTGCGATGCGGGGAGCTTGGTGCGCCTTTCTCGTACGCAGGCATGTCCAGCCTTCATCTGTTGCGACTCGACGGCATACCTGCTCCCTTACAACGCCAGCCACACCACCACCTCTCCTCGCGTTGCTCGTGCGCGCGCCGCGAAACTCACGGGCCTGACGTGGCGCTCATACCAGTCCGGATCGCCGACGTGGATCATGATGGCCAAGGGGAAGAAGAGGTAGAGGCCGAACTTGAAGAGCTCGACGTTGGGCCCTGCCATGGTGGGCGAGTGCGGGTGAGGCGGGGTGGACGGGATGTGCGAGGGGAGGATGAGGGAGTGGAGGCAAGCAGCGCGGCGCGAGAGCGAGCGAGGCCGAGGCCAAGGCGCGTGGAGAGGGCGCTGACTCAGCAGCGCGAGCGCGCCGTCAGCTCCACTTCGCAGCCTCGCCTCGCCTCGCCTCCTT